GTAACAACAGAAGCGGACAAGACGGCTGAAAAGGATGAGGAACCACACCACCTGCAAAAAAGATCAAAGGGCGTTGCGCTGAGTGCGGTAGAATGAAGAATAATTACACAACATAAAATGCTCTGAGTGTTCTAAATTTATCTGCAAAAATCATCTGGGCAAGACAGTACAACTTTGCAAACCCTGCTGCAGTGAACAGGGACAATCTGAAGAGGATTAAAGTAGCGAAAGGTTTTTAATTTTTTTCATTTATGAAATTTATTACTTACCGAACTTTTCTTTATGGAATATTTATAATTTGTAAATTTGATTTATGATCTTATGATTTTCATACAGAAAATAACATAGAATACTATATAACTTTAAATTACATTCCCAGTGCATTCCATTTTTTGAATTAATTAAAAATTTGTAATTCCATCTTTACTGCTTTTTTTTTATTGTTGTTGTTGTTATTCTTATATTCTTTTTACTATGATGAATCACCTTATTAATGTAATGTATAAGATTAAATAGTTTCAAACACGAAGCAGAGGCTTGAAAAACGACCTGGCGTACTTCATACATCGCCCTTCTAAAATTTTACCATATGCCAGCCCCTCCAGCTGAGGGTTAAATACAAGTCTTCACAAGAAGATTCAAAAGGCCGTTCCACTCACAGGGTTAATGCTACAGCAGGCACTAAAAATGCATGCCATGTCTTTAAGGAGAAACTACCAAATATTTTAATACATTGACTCTAAATATACATCATAATTAATCCAGATATGATTAAAAACAAATATCACTCAAAATTTCATATAAATTTTTCTATATTTAATTATATAAGCATGTATATAATAGAATAAACAATACATTTATTAAAAATATTTTCAAAATTCTTACTTCAGAGGTTTGAAAATAACTTCTTGACCTCCACTAAGTTTCAGCATCATTTTTAACTGTGTACCTTTATAACCTATGCCAGCATGAACTATTTTGTAAGTAACCATAGCATTCAGAACAAATCCCAGTTCAGGAGTATTTTCTCCGTGTATTTCCCTTGAATTCACCCAACCAGCAGCCAGATTCCATGGTGACACTTTCATCTTTAAATCACTTCGTAAGTTTTCTTTTATATAGTGCACTATTCTTGGATAATCTAATCCTTTTCCATTAAATGTGAAATTCATATTTTGCAGTTTTGTATTTATTTTTATTCCAGCAACAGCTGCCACACTGGTAATGCTAAGATTCTTATAAGTTCGATCACTGAAATGTTCACTGTGCTGTAAGGATGAACTAGTTTCTTTTTCAAAATGGTACTTTGACATCTGGCTTTTTTCTGATCTCTATAAAACAAATACAATAGTGAATACAAAATCAAGCAAATAAAATCTAGTAAATACAAGTGGCTCTTGACATGTTGTACTATTCAATCACCTCACAAAATTGTAATATTACATATTAAATGTTCAAAACATATGCTCAGGTGCTTTTGTTCATAGAAAATCTGTTAAACATCAGGAGAAGTCATAACAGATTCTTAATTTGCTATGAAACAGCAGTTTGCAAGAAAGCAGATATTGTCCAGTTGCGAACAGGTGAAAGTTGTAATGTTTTTTGAAGAAATGAAGAATTTAGTGGTAACACAAAGATCTTGACCATACTTCTGGTACAATATCAGCTCCCTGCAAACAGATCTTTCACAGACTGTGTCAGCAGCTAGAAGTCACTGGCTCTGTGTTGGATGAGAATCAATGATTCTATCAAATTCTGCACACCTGAAAATGGCAACAGGTTTACCTTTACACACTCACTAGTTTATGCAAGATGAAATGCATCTATCTATATGCTATAAATAATGTTCCTTGTTTTCTGTATGCAGTTTTCATGTAACTACAGTACAAAGTCTTTAATCCGGACTAGTCGGGACTTCGGCGATTCCGGATTAGGGGTTTTTCCGGATTATAGATCATCAATTTAAATCTGGTAAGATGGCATGCAGAAATTATAAAATTAAACCGTAATTTATGAAATAAAGAGCAATTATGATCTAAAGGGTATCAAAATTTACAAAAAGAAAGCTTAATATTTATTTGTTTACTTTATTAAACATTTCTTTCAATGTAAGTTGTTTAAGTTGCTTCATTATATGTGCTAATACTTTCTCTTTAATTCTATAAACAGACATAATTTCTTGTTCAGTTACAAAGTTCCACTGTTCAAGTCCTGTAATTGCTGTGTCGAGAATACCGACTAACTTGTCAATCGGAATTTTTTTCGTTTTCACTAACCTCTCTGTCACTTTCTTCATGCCTTTATTCATTTTTTGCAGCAATTCCACTTTTGTTTGATGGACATTGAAACATGCTTCGCTTTGTAGATCCTTTGGCAGCTCCAGAATCGAAAACTCTTTTTGACATAATCGAAAGTTCAAGCTTACTTTTCATAAAATGGCTCTAACAGTCTGCAAAAAATAATAAACCCGATCCAATTAGAAGATTAAGGAACAACGCAATCTGCAACATTAACTCAAATAGATAATTAGATCATTTAAGCCTAGCTTATACCGTGCATTATTCATTAAACGTGCATGCATAAAGGTATTATGCGCATGCGTAAACATTATGCATGCGCAGAAAGTTTGTAGCTTTGAGGTCAGGATTATGGAAGTCCGGATTAAAGATTTTGTACTGTATTATGCAACATCAGTCTCATTAATGTAGCGAAAGGAAAAGACAGTTTTATAGAGCTGGGAATTCATTCTGGATATATCTTCATAGCCCAGATATAAATCCATATGATTTCATTTCATGAGAGTTTTTGAAAGATATGGTATTTCCAAGAAAGCCTGCAAATGTGGTGCAACTCAAAGCTCTTCTGTGCAGTAGTGCCATGCAGTTTTGGAATATGTATACTGCAAGGTGCAGAGGAAAATACAAAAGTTCATTTGAAAGCGGTTGTGAAACAAAATGATGGACACATTGTACACATTCTACACTAAACTACCTTATAGTCAATTAGACAAATGCAGTGCAACTCGAAACTCTCATAGTGCAGTACTGCCATGCAGTTTTGGAAGACGTACACTGGAGGATAGTGAAAAATGCAAAAATTCACTCAAAAGCAGTTGTGAAACAAAATGATGGACATGTTCTGCACTAAACTAACTTTCCATGCTCACACAGTTAATTATGGATTCATTTTGTAATATTTTAATGATAAATAAAAAGTGTAATAAACAAACCAATGTGTATGATATTTGGTGTGCCATCTTAAAATTAAATAATTACAGATTAGTATTATGCCATTTATTTATAGATCTACACAAACAAATTCCTACATATATTCAGATACAAGAAGGATTTAACTGGCCTAAAAGTATGCTAGGTACAATAATTATGAACATAGTTATTGTAGCAAGTAGACTTTAATCTGTGCATTCAGAGGCTGGAGAAATAGACACATGACATATAAGTATTATCCAGTATTCAAACCCACATTTGTGATAAATTTAGTAGACTTTTATTATGTTTCACTCAAATGGCTATTGAAGGTATTACATTATTTGTAAAAAGGAACAAAAACAGCACAGCATTGGATGATTTGAAAAGTTTTAGACAAATCATCAAAATATCACATACTTTAGTAGTTTGATCTGACATATGGAGGAAAAAAATCGAAATATCAATACACAAGTGATTAATATTTAGAAATATAACTCAAACAATAACTTACAAATAAGAACATATTGTGGAAGGGGGGATTAGCCACTTTTCAAATTACCAGATCAAAATTGAAATATAAAATACACCTAAAATTTTACCAAATTTAGAATTAGGTATCTAATAACTAACAAGAATAAACCTGTGTTATGCCCATTTTATAACTGTTTAGTGACAAATTCTGGCATATAACATAAGTAGTTATCATATACACACTCGATTTCACAAATAAGATTATACTAAATCATTCTTACGATTAAATTTTTATATGTAGCAGCAGGATTATACATTTCAACATTTATGCAAATCTTTTATTGATGATATTACCATATTATGAACATCTACAAAACATACATATTCTTAAATTTAAATGAAGGAATTGTGGATCAAAGTTTTTAAAAACAACCAAGAAATTACAGCATTATTTGAGATAAAAGTACCAATATAATATTTTTATACTTATGTGAAAAGTTATATGACCATGCCATATGGTGTATGAAGTGTACAGTGAAATTTCAACATTCTGTATATTTCAATATTCTTTCAACGATATAATAATATGCGCTTTTGTCTATTTTAATTATGATATTATCAAAATTTTAAATCAAATTTATGATACATTCAAGTTTTTAAGGAAAAAACTTGAATATGAAACAGAAAATCTTTAAGCACGATCAACTAGCGCAAATGGTATGATAACAAATTTATCCGCAATATGTTTAAAATATTTATAGTCTGAAATTTACATTCTGTACTTACTTGAAGATCTATCTGCGAGTAATTGAAATAAAATGCCAATGAAATAATCATAACAAGACATAATCCCAAAGTACATGTTATTCTTGATTTCAACTTCATTTAATTAATTTACGTTAGCTATTAGACGTACACGGAATCATAAACATCTTTGAAAGGTATCACATGAGAAAAATAAAATATTTCATATTTTAATTTTGGTCCAATTCATAATTCTTAAAGTGAAAATTTTTTAATAGAATAAAGCACATCATATTATCAGAATAATTAAGTAATATTTATAGGAATTTTATTAAAGAACGGTTTCTAATTCCCAATAGTCGGGATCTCAAAATTAGCGGAAAATTTTCCCATCACTAGATTTCAGGTACCAAACATTGTTTGACATACTGCCGTATTCATCTTTCAACCGCATGATTTCCATTACATCTATTTTCTTTATATTTCAAAAGTAATATCGTAGAGCAATGATGTCAAACTCGCGGCCCACAACAAATATTTTGCGGCCCGGCCAATATATCGGCAAATAATAATATATAATAATAAAATAACATATCGACGAAGAAAAAAATGAAATGTTTACTGCTAAGTAATTAACGATAATTTATTCAGTGTTGTTAGATTATTCACAGTGAGCTGACACACACACTACTTAAAAAGTTATAAATTTTATAAGATCTCGAGGTTTAAATCAGCGTCAATTCACTGCTTTCTTAAGTGAGTTAGTGAATATTCGGGTTTGTCCTATTATACCGAGGTACGTTGGTTATCTTGCTCCAAGATTCTCAAACAATTCTGGGATTTGAAAGAAGAAATATGTCAGTTTTTAAAAACGAAAAATCAAGACGTAAGTTTGTTTTACGATCCAATATGGATACAAGATTTATCTTTCTTGGTTGATATAACCAAACACTTAACCGATTTAAATTTATCGTTACAAGGAAAAGATCAAAGCATTCAAATGTCAACTAGTTCTTTGGGAAAACCAACTTAAAAATGAAGATTTGACGCACTTCCCGACGTGCAGCATGAATAAATCAAGTTTAGATGATACTTGTTCGTATCAAAAATACGCAGAAAAAATTGCAAATTTAACAACTGAATTTGAAAAGAGGTTTAATGATTTTAGTTCCCTCGAAGACATTTTTTTTTTTTTTTTTTTTTTTTTTTTTTTTTTTTTTTTTTTTTTTTTTTTTTTTTTTTTTTTTTTTTTTGTTTTGTTTTCTTCGAATTTCTCAATAAGTATTGACTCAGTACCCAGCCATATGCAAATGGAGGTGATCGAGATTCAATGCAACTCAAATTTGAAAGCAAAATTCATTGAAGTGGGCGTGCCTGAATTTTACAAATATTTACCAACCAGGTTTGAAAATACTCGAAAATTCGCATATGAAATTATTTCCATGTTTGGTATCACTTATGGGTGCGAGCAGTTATTTTCAGTCATGAAAGGTAATAAGTCTCCTATTAGAAACCGTATTAATGATGCTCACCTTGGGTCAGCGTTGAAAGTTATCACTGCAAACAAAATTTCTCCCGAAATAGGAAAGATAATAGCAGAGAAGAGATGTCAAGTATCAGGACGTAAACATTAAATTTTTCTTGTTCTTTTCTATATAAATATATATATATGTTTATTATTGAATTATTCGAAATAAATCTACGTTTCTATATATATTTTTTTTTTTTTTTTTTTTTTATTTTTATTTTATTTATTTATTTTTTTTTTTTTTTGCGGCCCGCCTAAAGTTAAACCTTGTTTGTTTGGCCCGAGTGTACCTATGAGTTTGACATCCCTGTCGTAGAGTATAATAAACACTTACAAAAACTGTATTCATTGAGTAATTAGAAATATGAAGTCTTATTATACTAAAGTGAGATTAATAATATTTGTCAATAATTTTCAATCATCTGCAACAAGTAATGAACAAGATTATAAAACTGATTGATTACTTCTGATAGCCAATAGGAACGTTGGTTATCCGAATATTGGAAATAATTTCCTAGCAACGCCGCCCAGTCGGTACAGTAGTTAGATGAGTCTACTCAAGATAGACCAAGGCCAACTAGATATCTAATTGGCCTTGGTCTACTGCGGTACCGAAGATCCTGGGTTCGAATTCCTGAGAAAGCATGGTTATTATAACTGTACTTCGCAAGAAGGCAACGGTGGCCGCTTTTTAGGTACCTCCACAATAATGGCCAGCACTTCTGCAAGTATAAATAAAATAAATAATGCTGCCAATAAAATGGCCAGCACTTCTGCAAGGCCAACTAGATATACTTGCATTGCCTTTAGGAGTGATTTTGCCTTGACTTCTGCCTTTAGAAGTGGCCAATTCTGAACAGGCAAGTGCCCGCCATCGGATAAAAAATAATTTCTCAGTTTCACGAACGACTCCTTTATTGTTAATTAACCTGATTCTCAACATAAAAACTGGATCAGAATAGTGGAATGAGATAAAGATTAATCATACCAGAGAAAGATGATGTAAAATTGATGATGAAAACAAACTGAATTTGCCATTATTCTTCAGTATCTGAAATCATGAAATATGTTACGCTTGAATTATATTATGAATATTTCTCTGGCTGAGATATACTACCAATTTCACTCTCTCAACAGATCTTATCTAAAACTGCCACATTTCTAGACACATTCTTTTTAAATGGCCCGGCTGTTTATTTAATATCCATTAGCCTTACGCCACAGTCGGAAGTGGTGGCCATTCCATTATTTAAACACCTAATAGGTGGCCACCATTGCCTCCTATGAAGGGACGGACAGTTACACCCATGCCTTTGAACCAATTTCAACGCCATTTCGAATCTGGGCCCATCGTTATGGCAGTAAAGGTCACTAACCACTATACCGACTGGACGGCTTCAAGACATAATATAATCTTATAATTATTATATACGGGCTGTCAATGCATAACACAGATTTCTCCTTTGACTACATATAGTTAATAATAGATAACATTAACAATTCTTTTTAAATGTCCCGGCTGTTTATTCAATATCCATTAGCCTTACTCCACAAGAGTCGGAAGTGGTGGCCATTCCATTATTTAAACACTTAATAGGTGGCCACCATTGCCTCCTATGAAGAGACGGACAGTTACACCCATGCCTTTGAAACAATTTCAACGCCATTTCGAATCTGGGCCCATCGTTATAGCAGTAAAGGTCACTAACCACTATACCGACTGGACGGCTTCAAGACATAATATAATCTTATAATTATTATATACGGGCTGTCAATACATAACACAGATTTCTCCTTTGACTACATATTGTTAATAATAGATAATATAAAACTGGAATAAATAGATGCCAATGAGAAATTCAGTTTTAGGCACTCTCAATTTTAGTTCTATCAATTTCAAGAGTGATGAGACACATTTTCTCTTCTACAGCAACCAAGAAAAACTTTATAGCGACATCCAGGGCGTCTTAACACATGAGCCATTAGGTAGATGTTCGCGTGCCCCCACGAGCATAGGAGCCTCATACTAATTCATTTACATCTCATTTCTATAACTAGTTGTTGTATTAAGGGCCCCCAGTACACTGGTTTGCCCATGGGCCCATAATGCTGTTAAGAGGGGGTTGGCGACAACTGTATTTAGACTGAATGTAATGGGGTGCGTAAAGCACGAGTCATATTAAACAGAATTGAGCCCTATCTTGATAAGTTTCTTCCCAAACAATTCGGGTTGAGAAAGAAACTCAGCCGCAGTAAGCAGCTAGCTAGGCTGACAGAATTTGTTAGTGCTGCACTTCATAACAATCAGAGCGTAGCCTTACTCAGGCTGGACGCGGCGAAAGCTTTCGACCACGTCTGACATGAGGGGCTCATGTTCAAGCTCATCTCTCTTGACTTCAATCGAGACCTTATTTTGCTTATTTACTCTTTTATTAAGAACAGAAAATTTTTCCTCAGCTTCGGGAATGACAAGATCTTAAAAGGCATATTTATATCGCTATCATACGACCAATTTCCTCTTACGCCTCCACAGCGTAGCTCAAGGCTCTATTTTAGGACCTATTCTTTATATTTTCTATGTCGCAGATGTCCCCAGAATCTGTTCTGATGTGAATTCGTTCCTAGGATGCTACGCAGACGATACGGCACTGGCAATCAAGTCATTAAACGCAGGGAATGCTATTAATAAATGACAGAAAGTTATACCGGCAATTGAATATTGGTGCAAGAAATGGCGTATAGCAATCAATGCACAAAAATCTTAACTTATAATTATTAGCAAGAAACAACATAGGACACCACTTCAATACAGAAAAGAAAATTTTCGAAGTTGAAGTCCCCGTAGTACATAAAGTCTTGGTATTTTCAAAAACGGTAAATTTACCTGGACCGTCCATGTCAAAAATGTCAGAAGTAAGGAGCACACTGCAATTAGTAATCTCTCGCCTTTAATCGGTAAATCATCGAAATTAGATCTACTTTGTAAAAGGCATATTTATATCGCTATTTTACGACCAATTTTCTCTTACGCCTTCCCTGCATGAGAGGCTGTCACCGATAGAGACATTAGCAAGCAGAATAAGTACCTGAGACTCATTGCGAACGCTCATTACTACGTCTCGAACGTTACGTTGCATAATGATTTGAAGCTGAATACAGTAGAAAAAATTCTGCACAAAATAAATACAAGCTTTTTTGATGAAGCTTTCAATTGTGAACACCTCAAATATTTTAAAGTCTTCGACTACGTTGCCTTAAGAAAGGATTGTAAATACCGACCCTATACGGCTCACCTCACCGTGACTCAAATTTTCCGACTTAATGTTTGCAACACTTTATTCCTATTCTTGTATATAATGTATATATTTCTCCCATTTTGCCTCTGTTTATATATGATCTATGTTTGTATCTATGATGCTTATTAATAAAACGTTGTCATTGTATCTTGTACTTAAACCACCCACATATCATGAATACAACATGTCAGATTTTTCACTTCGTCACAGTCTCTCCTTCTTTGTTTTTCCATCTTCTGGCTTTCGCCTTGTGACGTTGGTCACCCTCCTCTTCCGATTTCCGACCTCCTGTTATCCAGTCCAGACTTTTCTATGTTATGCGCTCTTGTGGCTTATTGTCATTGAGCCGGCAACGTCGCGTTAAAAACAGCAACAGCCCGGCATAAAATGTATTGATTAATTGATTGATTGTATGTAAAGCGAATGTGAAAGGATCGCCATTGACTGAGGAAAACGGTAAACGTGAAAATTTTAAATATTCTAAAAGCTGTCCAATACTTACTGAAATTTGCATGTACTATTTTGAAGTCGAATAATTTGAAAAACTGTCTTTTTGGCTCTGAATTCGTAATATTATTGACATATTCAAGCTTTAGACAGTAATAACACTGATTTAACACAGTTTTATCTGTTACTGGTATTCAATGCTACATTCAAATGATATTCTAGATATCCGCAACGAATAATAAATACTGCATTAGGCTGAATTCAAAATAACCTTGGATACAAGATGATTTCAGAAATTCCTGATG